GCAGCTTCGTATATTACTGCATTAGCAGGCACAACCATTGTTTATACTTCTGAATTCCTTAAATAAAAATGATTTAGTGCTCTGTCAAGTCCAGCTGTGGCCAGATGTATTGAAGGAGGAATTGAAGCCATACAGCTACTGAAAGGACTATGCCTTTTCCCTTTTTGTTAGTGCTGTCTGACATAATCTTACACATGTTTCCAGGTGTGCCAATCACACTACATATTAGCACACTTAACCAAAGAAATTGAAATGCTTTCCTCTGTTCCTAGTATTCCATGCATCCCAAACTTTAGCTACTGAAACAGGAGTGACCACCCATTTGCCCAAAGAACTGGATGCAGGAAAAGGTTGTGCTCATGTGTTCTCTGAAAGCACACTTTTTCTATAAAAGCAGTGGAAGATGATGCCCAGAATAGTGGCATAAAGTAATCCTTTTGACTGCACCTGATTCTGTTTCTTTGTTGCGAGAATCCTGATTCTTTTTATCTGAAGACCTAGGTAAGAGGAAGTTTGGGAAATTGGTGTCCAGATGTTGTGAGGCATGAAGAAGTTGCTGTTGCCATATATGATTTGATGTCCCTTTCTTATTATTAAATATTCAGGCATATTTTAATATTTTATCTAGTCACTCCTTACTAAGAAAAGTGATGGGTTCTGTTCAAACTTTGGCTGAAGTGAGCAGGATACATGAACTCCATTTTGTTACTTATTGATCAGAGTTTGCAAGTAATTCAATGATAATCACCACAGGATCCAGTGATACGTCCTTGTTTTGCCCTTAATCTCTGTTATGCACTAATAATTTCACATAACACATACAGCGGTTCCTGGAGATTAATTCAACTCTTTTCCCTCCTCATTCACATCATAGGAATAAGATGTTGTTACATATATTTTTAAATTTTACTTTTCGGCATGAATGTGTCTCATCTGTGGCTCACCTGGAGTATTTTCGTCTATAAGAGTCTTCAGGGCTGGTATCTGCCATTTGTGGCTGTTGTCCATGCCAGATGGAATGAGGGAGATCATTAGGTTTTGCATCCATGCTACATTCCAGACAACAGAGGCTTTACAGTAGAATTTTTCTGGTATAATTTTCTTGTTATATTCTCCTAACTACTTGCTGCTCTGAAAGTTTATGCTGAAAGGCGGGTTATAGAATTCCTAAACAAATATACAAGGAATTGGCAAAAAATTACCACTTCTGAACAATAGACTCCCATGCCATTGGTGCAAAAAGCAAAAGGGGAATGGCCTCCTTTTGGTGAAACTGAAGCTTCTATTTAGTTATCAAAAGGGCCATTAACTCAGTTTATCTTCAAGGCCCCTCCAGGTTTATCTTATCTTATTTAACTTGCAACTGTGAGACGCCCCAATCCTATTCTTTGGCTGCATCCTGGGCACCGGGTGCCAGACAGAGTCATTATAACAGCTGGAAGGGATGAGAATCTGAAACATCAAAAAGAAATTGATTCCTTAAATTACCCATCCTCGATATGTGTTGGGACCCTGTGGTGATATTCCCACACTGCATTCACCAACACAGTAGGCATGCCTTCAGGAAGGCCACTGCACCTTTTTTTGAGGAACATGATTAGCTTAATGAGTGTTGAGAAGTGGTGATTCTTCTGCATGTTGCATCACATCCCAAATTGTCTGAGGACAAATTGATATTACCAGCCAAGTCTTAACCAGTGGACAGAAAGCCCATCTATCTTCTGGAATAGGTGGGACAACTGATACGTGGACATTTCGCCCTGTTTTCATTTTCTCACCCAGCATTGTCATAAGAACACTGAAAGACATTGCACTGTTTTTGCTAAAAAATATTTTGTTAGTCAACAGATTTACCAAATGACAATTTAGTCTTCAGAGTCAATTGTTGGTGCAGTAGCCAAAGCCAGCTCCTTGTTGCCAAACTCATCCATCAACATTCCGGTTAAAAAAGTTTAAAAGTGCTATTGGAGCACCATCCTTTCACCAAAAGGCCTTAGAGTGTTGCGTTAAGTATCATTCTTTCACTTGGATTTGTCTGATATGTTTAAAGTGCTGTATAAATGTCAGGAAAGAGCTTACTAATTTTATTGCATAAGAACTGATCAGGATTCTTTGTTCAAACCCAGTCTCCCTTGAATGGTGCAAGACAATGAGGAGGAAGAATTCCAAAAGGAGTTTAGGAATGTGTGGACTACTTGTGTGTCTCCTGCAATTGTCTGTGAGGTTTGTGGAGATTCTAGGCTCCTATAAAGATCTACTATATCTCTTAGATTTTATTTTCATCCCTTTCATCCATCAGTCTGCCTCCACTGTTCCTGTAAGACACCAGATGAATCTCTGCCTAAATTTGAGCGTGGTAAAATATGGAGTGGATCTCATTGCCTTGTGGTATTTGGAAGGACACTCCCCTTTTGGTGCAACATTGGTTTTGTTAAATAGAACTGCTCAAAGCCATGAACTTCTGATTACATGCATACCTATGTCCATAGGATGCCTCAACCAACTTTTTGAACCAAAAATATTCAGCAGTTAATACATGTATGGAATTGGAAAGAGCCGTGCGGTAGAAGTGCATAAGGAATTAAATTGCTGATGTATCAAAGCCATATGTTTTGAAGCAAAGCAGTGAAATGAATTATTTCTATCAATCGTCTGGAAGCTTTCTTTATTTTTGCTACTTTTGGAATTTAACATCTTGTTTCAAACATTTCATTTTTGAAGTGAATTCTCAAGGCCATTTTTTGTAACTTTTTTTAAAGGCAATAATCATCTGTACTATCTTGCAAACTCCAGTACAGTATAGTACTTATTTATTGCTTATTTTTCTCAAAATTTCTAAATCTGAAACCATCCCTAGTGATGTTCTTTTGTTCTGAAAGTATTGTCTTTTCCTAAAATTCAGAATTGTTGCTGTATTCCTGTTTTACAAGGAAGATTCTTAAATGAGGTGGAAGGAAAAAGTTCGATAAGCTGCTTAAATGGAGTGGAAAGAAAAAAGTGGTAAGCAATTTAAATGGGGGGGCCTAGTCTATTGTTTTGTCTGAATGGCGCCCCCACCCCCTATTATCTGATTAGCCTTTCCTAACCACTGTTTTTGTTTTTTTTTAGCATAATAGAGGCATCCCTGGCCCTCACAGTGGGATCCAATCATACTGTGTTTTGCACTAGTTTCTATTTGCAAAGGAATTTACCTTTTTAATCTTGTGGATTGAGTACACTCATTGTGTCACCTTTGTATTGCTGCCTCTTTGGATTTCAGCTGGCTAAGGATTATCGACAAGGATGGACAGATTCTGCTGCATCCTGTGCGTAGGACAGATTTCAATGGATAAGCTAAGAGCAGAGCACTATATATGCATAATTCCTATTAGAGGTAATTTAATCCCATCACTGTTTTGATTGGAGGCTGCAGTGAAGTCACAGGTGAGCTCACATTCTTCAGTTGCCTTCTGATCTGTGCTATGTGACACCTCCTGTCTCTTAGATGCAAAAATGTCTTTTAGGTCTAGTGGTAGCAGTGGGCCAGGTGGTATGTCCTTGCTGCCACATATAGGTGTTGCTAGTTCTGATTTTTATTAATCATTTAGATTGTTGCCATTAAACGGACTCTCCATGATGCTGATAAAACTGTTGTGTGTTTATCGATTCCATTGAGGAAAAGTAGGCTCAATAGGACGTATTAGAGCAATGGTTTCCAAATAGAGCCCCCCACACACACACAGACATCTTTTTAGACTACCAGAAGCCATAGCCAGCCCTAATAGGAGCTGTAATCCAAGAACATCTGGGATCCAAAATTGGGAAGACTGTGCTGGAGCCATGGTTTATGATCCTCACCATGTTCTTGGGAAGCAAAGCCATTTCAGTACTCTTTTGGTTCAGAGTTTCCTTAAGACATCAAAGGCTATATGTGACTTGAATAGCAGTGACAGCTTCCTGCCCCTGCAATACTGGAAACTGCTTTATTCTGAGCCAGAAGAATGGCCCATGTAAGCATAGTCAGGACTGACTGGCAGTGGCTGTCCATGATTTTATATAAATGTCTTTCTTGGAAAGGCAGGTATTGAGCCTGGAACCCTTTGCGTGCAAAGCATGGTTTCTGCCTCTGTCTTTTCCTCTCTATCTACCTTTGTATTGTCTGCTGTGCTTGTTGACAGTGGTTCCCCGGAGTTCCAGTCTTTCTCTGTATCTGGAGAAGCTGGGGACTGAATGTAGAACTCCCCACATACGAAGTAGATTACCACGGACGTATTGCCCTTCTCCTAATAAGGTAATAATATGTGCTTCTGTGTGAAATCTTTTTTCTGTGAAGCGCATAGTTAAACTGAAAAGTGCTAAAGAACTACATGAGACCTCTAACTGAATGGGAAGCCCTTTGCAGGAGCATATGCTGTAAAAACCTGGGACCACTATGCCACAAGTTGGCAAAGACACAATATGACTCCTGTGGCTTTGGAAATGACAGTATATTTAAGATAGGAGGAAATTTTGTTCTGATCTATTAATAACCCATGTTTTAGAATTAGAATGTTTGGCAGGATATGCTTGGTCTTGTGAGTTGAAGGCTGCAATCCTGTACAAAGAGTTAAGTGGGATAGGTTCAGTATAAGGCTCCTACAATTACGAAGCTCATGTCATCGCACTGCAAGTAATCTATTTGCTTGCCATACAAATACCACCTGTGTTCTGTGCTTCTGGGAAACTGATGTGTATAAATGCCTCTGAAATGCCAAATGTGCATTTAAAAAAATGATAGTAGTAAGAGTAAGTACGAAATATTCGTGCCCACTCTTCCTTTCCTCCTTGGATCTTCTCCATCAGCATTCAGCCCAAAAAAGTGTCAGCATTTTTTGTGGACGGACACAGCTACTTTAATGCCACAGAAAAATGTAATTGGTTCACCCTTTTGTAGCAAGGGGGTTTGGTAAAGAAAAAATGTTTAACCTCTCATTGGATTATTTTGCTGTTTTGCAAACTGATAAAGGCAAAGATTATCTGACTACTTTATTTGTTTTTTTAATTGTGTGATGCTTTTGAGCAACGTCTGGCACATGACTTCCTTCGGTCCCTCCAATCCAGCAATCCAGGCTGTGTTTTTCTTTTGCTCCAGCAGGGTGGCGAGTGGACAGTGAGTCTGTCCAGCTTGTTAGTGGAAAGCATGGAGTCAGCAAGCGTCTCAACAGCATCCCTGAGCATGGTGGTGGTGATGATGGTCGTCTCCTGAGCCTGGCATGTGAGGAGTGTTAGTGGCAATTTCAACCAGGATCCATCCTGGAGATTGTTTTTGATTGGGGGTAGATAATACCACTTTCCTGAGAGTCTGCCATGGACTTCAGAGTTTCTCTCTTGTTGCCTCTTTCCCTTTGGCTTTGGGGTAAGTAGTTCTCTGACTTTGTTCTGTTTCCCTCTTACCTGGCATGGAACCTGGCTTCTCCAGCTTCTGTCACAGAAAAACAAAAGCTCTGATTCCAGAAGAGCGGTCACCCATTCTGTCTCATCTCTCTGCAAATGCAGCACGCCAAAACTCTGTAGGCACGTGTGTGCTGAAAATGTAAACCAGCTTCAGATTGGTTTAGATCTATAGTGTAAGGGTGGGAAGAAGAGAGCCACCCCTTGCTTTAGCTGTGGAAGGAATCATTTAGCAACTGGTTACTTTCAAAAAGTCTGTGTCCTCCCATAGGGAGAGGCTGCGGTGAGGGTGGGGGATGCAGTGGTAGTGTGTGTGTGTGTGGGGGGGAGTTATTAAGATGTTGTCCGGTGGCTTTAAACAGAAAATGCATCCAGCTCTCCTGGGAACAGGTTTCTAATAAGCAGGATCGCTGGACATGTGGCTGGAAGGCAGTCAGTGAAGTTGGAGGAAAATGCTCCGTTTTGCAGTGCAGTTCATGGTCTCTTTGAATATATTCTGAAATGTGTGCCAGGGAAAATCAGCGTTTAGACAAGTGTTTGAGCTCTTCAGGAATAATACCCATAATATTTCCTCTTTCTTTCTCTTTTCCAAAAAGAAAAAAGAAAAGAAAAAAAAAGGAATGGGTGTAAGATGTGGGAAATTATCAGGTGTTCTTTGCTTGTCTCAAATTGGCCAGGCAATGGGCCAGAGCTAAAAGGAGCAGGTCCAGAGTACGAAAAGTAACTTTTTTGGCTTTCCTCTCTTGCTGATTCCTTTTGCTCCAACCTGAGGTTCTACTTGCCTTCTCTCTTCATCCTTCTGCCAGCTGGATCATGTTTTATTTATCTCTGTCCACTAACTCAGGGTTTCAAGGGTCGGTGTTTACGCCTGAAAACTTTCCCTTCATATTCTCCCATCCCGCCTGCCTCTTTGTCTGGCTTCTGGAATTCTGCTGGTTACTGGGACGCAGTGGGGCTGCTTTTGTGTCTAGTAACCATGGCTACTGAAAACATGTGAAGCAATGATGGGGACTTTTGTATGGCCGCAAAAAAAGCAGGCCCGTGGCATGCAGCATTATTGATGAATGGGCCAGGGTGCTGTGAGGATGTTGTTGAGGAAGATTGTTGTTTAGGATAACACCTAGGAAAAGGCGGGTTTCTTCTTCTTTCTTTTACCTTTGGAGAGGTAGTTACGTATGTCCTTAAAAAAGTGTTTTTTCTAAAAAGTTTATTGAGCACTAGACATCTTTGTAGATCCTATATGCAGAGGAGACTCACCGCCAGTATGCTTGGCTGTCTGAAATTGTGAGAATACAAACTTCTCCAACAGCATTGTAGTTGCCATTTGTTACAGTCCCCATTTTATGGAACAGGAAAGCTGAGGCATGCACAAGCCAAGCGATGGGCTGAAAATTTCAAATGAGTTAGTGTTTTATGAGTTTAGTTTTTGTCTCTGGAATCAACTCTGAGTCCTAAGCTATTGTTTTTTTTAGGCATATGTCCTTTGCAATTAAGATCACACCGGTCTAGAATGTTTCTGTTAGTGAATATATGATGCATGAGGTAGCACCCCCCCTCAGCTCACCAATTCACACCAGAGGACCATCTCATATGATTTGCAGGTATAGATTATAGGCCCTTTTCAATAGCAGTTATGGCATTCCAGCTAGAGTGACAGCTGACAGGCCTTTTCTGTTCCTGCCTTTGGGTGGGCTGCTAAGAAATTTTCATTGAAACAGAAGTGTCTGTTTTATAAATGGCATGAAATAAGTGAAGGTATCGTTCCGTGTCTAAATCACACTGGCCATGTGACCACGGAAAGATTGTCTTCGGACAAAACGCTGGCTCTATGGCTTGAAGAGCGGGATGAGCGCCGCCCCCTAGAGTCGGACACGACTGGACAAAAATTGTCAAGGGGAACCTTTACCTTTACTTTTATCAAATGAACCAAGAGTCTTGTGGCATGCAGAAGACTAGCAGAGTTTATAGTTGTTAATAGGAAGGATTGAATGGGTGGTGTGTGTGTGTGTGTGTGTGTGTGTGTGTGTGTGTGTGTGTGTGAGAGAGAGAGAGAGAGAGAGAGAGAGAGAATTTCCTGATATGCACATACAGCTTGTCTGGTTCCTGTCAGTAATACAGAATTATTGGGGGCACAGAATTATTGCATTTGAGAGCCAGGATGAGAGCAGCATGGTCTGAGATGGCATCAAAGCCAGCTGCCCTGTTGTTCAACAGGTGTCAGGGTTCAGACAGGTTCAAATAGTGCCAGCAGTACAAAGCTTAATGCAGGTACCGTCATTGGTCCATCCAGCAGACCAGGAAAATCGTGGGGTCAACTGAGGTGGTGCAGTTCACATGGTGGAAGACATGCCAAGCCACTTTCAATCTGGCACTGTCTGGTTTCACAGCCTGCTAGTTGTGCTTCTGATTTTGTCATGAAGCACTGAACTAGAAAGAGGGACATTCCCTTTGTGGAGGTACCCCCTTTCCTTCTCCTCCCGTCACTTTAACTTATATATCAAAATTCCCAAAGCAGCTCATAACACCGAAGCAGAAAGGTAAAACAATAATATGCCATTGCATGAAAGAGTTTAGTATCAGTTCCTTTCGAAATGTAAGATAGAAAACCAAGCACACCATTTCCTTAAATAATCTGACATGCTCACATTTTAAATTTGTTTGCAAAATAGGCAGTGCCAATCACTGAAACAACATCAGTTGATATTATTTATCATTTATGAAATTTTAGTTATTGTGTATAATAGGCAACTTGCTTGATATAACAGGTGGAGAGGGAGTCTTATTTGTCTGACCTGATATCATGTAGATACTCTGAGTGGAGCTCAGACGTGCCCCAGCCACAATGTTCCTTCCTAAGTGGCTGATTTGCCCGCGTTAGCTGCTAGTGTATTTAGATTGGATTTAGAATTAAAGCTTGAGAGTCCGTATAGCTAACCAGAGCACACAGGAACTCCCACCCCTGATCCCATTTCCATGTTTGATGGGTAGCAGCAGCTTGGGAGATCAGAGGGGAGGGAGAAAACATGAAGGTCACTTTTGAGGAGTTTTTATAAGGGGGATTCTGCAGGCAGGAGCAGGGCCACAATGGGAAATGGAAGATCAAAGAGCTGCTTGGGCAGCGCAGACAAGACAACCATAAAACCAGCATGGATTTATGGGCCTTGTATTGCTCCCTCCTCGAAACCTGATAATTGGAGCAGTTTCATCTCTATGCAGCTGTAGGTGGATGATCAAATGCACACCTGGTTAGCCCCTCTGTTCATGGAGAGCATGCTTCACACCTTTCTTAATGATGGCATGAATATTCACTGTGTATATTTTGGCACTGGCAGTTCCGACAGAAATGGAAGAGGAATCTGAAAAAGGCAGGTGTTTCCAAACAAAGGATTTTGCAGGGAAGGGAGTTCAGGTCGATATATCCCAGGTATCAGGTGCCAAGACTGAGTCCTTGATACCAGTAAGCCACACTGGAAGCAGGTTCAGTCCTTGTGAGTTCCACAGACAGATGGGGGAATCAGCAAGCGAATGTCATATGCCCATGCACTCCCCCACCTTTGTTATTGTAGTGCTTCTAACTTAATCACTTAGTGACACAACCTAAAAAGGTTGCATATTTTAAAAAGGAAAACAAGCAATGAGACCAGCCATTTTGATTCTATAAGGGACCTTTTATCATATTAGACATTGGTTTCACTTTCCTGTCACAAAATTGGGAAATCGTAACAGATGTGTCACATCTTGTGCATATCTTTGCTGCCTATTTAAAGCTTCCCTTACAAGGAATCTTGTATGGCTTTTTTCTTACCACTTACTGACTTAGCTTACTGACTAACTTGAGGAGCATGAACATTTGTATTTTCTTGGAACTTCGTCACTTTGACTTGTATGCTGATCTCTGTATCTGGTTGTTGTGGGTGTGGCATGTGGTCACTCAGGAATAAGGTGGGCTGCATATCCCCTTTCCGCAGTGCTCTTGTTCTGAGAATGATTCCTGGTTTTCTGAATAGGTTCTGGTGATGAGCCCTGATTAGCCCTGGTCGAAGCACAGTCCTAGATAATCCCAGAAAAGATGTTCTGTAGCATTTACCAAAACGAAGAGGAAAAGTGGTGGGGGGTGTAGACCATATAATGACAGTGAGAGCTATACCAGCTTTCGATGGTCACATGGGGATCAATTAAAGCAGAACAGGAAAAGAGAGAAGCTATATCCCTGTCTTTTCCCTGGTAAAACATGGGGCTATTTTCTGACACCTGGTTTGATTGAAGGTGGTATTAGTGGAAGGATGTAGAGGGCTAAGTTGCTTAGGTGTCCCTGAGGTGATCTTGGGTCAAAAAGGCATCTTCTCATGCTGGAAATGAAATGATAGTATCACAAACTCAGGACCCAAATCCTTAACACTGACATGTTCTTCTACAGAAAGCTCTGTAGAATTGCACGGATGCTCACCAGGAGCTGGGTGTGGTGGTTTCTGTGAGTAAATTTAAGGGATCCGTGCATACGGTCTCTTAGGAGGAGTTTTCAGGTGGAAGTGCTCTGAGAGCTGCAAATCAAAAGACATTGTGCAGCTGTCTTCATGCTGTAAGAAGTAAAGCAGAGATGACACAGTAGGAAAACAAGGGTGAAGGCTTGTTGCTCCTTCTACTGAAATTCTGTGAATGAGGCAAGGTGATTGTATAATTAAAAACACCTTCTATCAATGCCTTTATACCTCTTGCTTCTCAGTAAGTGTGAGTTTGTTAAATTGGAGCAGCATGTCCCGCAAAAGCAAAAGCTGCTGCTTTGGCAGCTTTTGGGGAGGAGACCCTGCCTCTCACCGAGCTCCTTGCTTCCTTCCTTGGAGCCATCTAGAGAAAATGCCCTTCTGCTAATCCCTTCTGTTGACCAGGAGAGGAGAAGGGCAGCACAGGTCACCCAGGATTTACTAATATAAGCAAGTGCCTGCCTTTCCATTGCCATGGAAACAT